GATTAAAATTTCAAAAAAAAATGTCATTAATTTTATCTAAATTGCAATAAATAAATGATAAATTTATTTTCATTTTAAATGTTGAACTTCTTTTAAAATTTATTGCAATAATCTTGCAATTTTGGAAAATTTTTTATTTGAATTGGCTTACTGTAATATCGTTTTATACTATTCCGATTGTTTTTTTTTTTTTTCCCATTATTTTATTCCATTCATTTGTTAATTAAAGATTACATACAAGTTTTATTAGAGGAAATGAATCATGGAAAAGGTACGTGCCATTGGTACTCAATTATATTTTTAATTCAAATTTATCATTAAGTAAATTTCCAAAAAATTGCATAATACAAATTATGGCTTAACTAGTAAAAGTAAATAAATTACTAACTTACATTGGTGACATCAAAAAAAAAAAAGGAAGAAAAATTAAATGATAAAAAATAATGAGTTAGAATATTTGAAATTAACCTGTGTTAAAGTCATTTTGGTGAGTAATGCAAGCATAATTTTTTCCGCTTTTGTTGGATATGGATTTTTCCTATGTTCATTAAGCCATGATTTAAGCGGTGCTGTAGTTTCACGTGTTGCATTTTTACGCCGTGTACCATCTAAACCACTAGCATACGGATGATATGGCATTGGATCAAAGAAATAACCGGAAACTGCCCGTACTGCACCAATCATTTCTGGCTTCATTTCCTAAAAAAAACAAACAGAAACATTCCGAAACAAATAAATGGATATTTTGAAAATTTCAATCAATCTTTGATCTGTTGACATTGTGAATTAATCTGCTATAAATACACTGTCACCAAGCGTAGAATACTTTTTCAATCATGAAAATCATGAAAGATGAGCAAAAATTGCAAAAATTTCAATATCTATTAAATGTGATATTATTAAAATTAATTTTAAAAAATTTCAATATTTCACCTTTTCTTAAATGCCTTAATTAATTTAACACTTTTTTTGTGGTAATTGTTGATTTTTTTTTTTTTTTAGAATATTTTCCAACGACACATTTAAAAAGATAAAACATTAATCATATTATGGTCATTTGTGGTCACTCTTTTTCCCATTCCTTAGTTCAATTTCTATTGTGATCATTTACGGTCACCCGTCAGTGCAACTTCATTAATTATTTTTCACTTATTTTTAAAAGATTATTCAGTCATCCTGATAAAGTTTCCGAAATTAGTTCATTGTTTTTAAGATTTTAGGAAAGAATGATATCGGAAAAGGATTGAACAAAAAAAAAAAAGAAAAGAAAAAGGAAGAAAAAGGAAGAGGACGAGGATTGGAATGAGCCGGAATTGTAAGAGATGAACCAAAAAAAAAAAAA